TACTACTACTACTACTACTACTACTACTACTGCTCCGACTACTACTACTACTACTACTACTACTACTACTCTACTACTACTACTACTACTACTACTACTACTACTACTAGTACTACTAATACTACTAGTAGAAGTACTTGCTGCCGCTCTGCGCTGCTGCGGCTGCTGCTTCTTGCTGCTGTATATAATGCGACAGTGGCCACAGTTGCTCCTTCTACGTGCGACGAAGGTCCTGCTAGACCCTATGGGTACAGGGCTACAACTGGGAGTACTGCCACTAGCTTGTTGTTGCTACTGCTCCGTGGGGGCTGCATTATCAATGTGGAAATCGAAACTGCTTCTAAGGGGCATGGGTACGGGTACTGCTTGTCCTGCTACGAGGCTCTACACTGCTAGCTACTGGAATGCCATCCAGAACGTGAACTCCGAAACCTGAAGCCCTACCCCGGATCTTATGAAGTACCCTGGGACTAAGCCAATCGCCACAAGCCCGGGGATGCAGTGCTGGAGGCAGTCGGCTCCTCCAGAACATGCCAAGTTTAAGGTTGATTCTAGTCTATATACATAGTGGGGTTGTGGATTTCGGCAGCCTGGCCTGCGAGTGCTTCAGCTAAAGGAGCACGCCAAACTTTCAAGCCAAATGCTGTGCAGATCAACAGCATATAACAGCACTTTAGATTGCAACCTGCTGATCGCGAGACTACACGTATTATTGTTGCTGGAGCCTGTCAATTTTGGAACTCTTCGCCAAGCCACGTCTCTAATTGGTCGGGGCGATAATGTGCTTTGGGAAGACTGGGCCATTAATGCATGAACATGTCCGCCTTAACACATTTCTGAATCCCAGCAGCACCCTAGCACTCGCCCGTGCACTCTGCAGCACGGATCACATGTACTCCGCAGGCTGGCACGACAAAGGCAACGGCCACCGTGGAACCCAGGAGCGATTCCGAAGTTCTTGCTTCAGAAAATCAACGATTGGTTCCTCATTTGCTCGGTAAGGCTTGCAGGGCCAATGCAAACACACGCTACGCATGCACTTTATTAAGTTTGAAACAAGGCACCAGGTCGGCAGGGGACCACAGGGAGGCATCTACCTGTTCGATTTCGAGCATTGGCGGGATTAGGGGGGGGTCTGGGGCTCACGTTTAATTTTATGTTCTAGTCGGCCGACTGACTAATAGGGCCAACGCATGATCAGGGTTTCTTAGGTTCGGGGTTTGCGGGCTGAGGGTTTAGGGATTTAGAGGGATCATGATATGCAGATTAGCCACCGGGACAGGAGCGAGCTGGAAGTCTTCCAGCGAGGGCACAGTCGGAACATATCCGATATCCTGGGACACGGGTCTGCTTGCATTATAAGGCAGTAATCATGTGGCAGCCCCCAGAGCCCAGAAAGACAACCAAACAGGACAAGCCACTACACTCATGTGCATGTGGAAATGCATGATCCTTCGGCAGAACCTCGCCGGATACGACTCGGTGGATCTGAGTCGAGGTCCCCCTGTCCTGGGATACTTTGCGTATGATGTGCAATGTGCATATGAGCATGTACGATAACACACGGGTGCCCTTGTCAATCACATGTATATTATAAGCTGAGTGGCACGGCTACAGTTCCGTCATGTCGCCTCTTTCGTGTCAC